ATGTTTCATGCAATTGGTTTTTGGGGATGTTAAAGTCTTATTGTCGCAATAAACGCTATCCGAAAGGTTTTATTGCTAAAGGATATTTAGCAGAAGAGTGTATGACATCTTATTCTCGTTATTTGAAAGATGTTGAAATGAGATTTAATAGACCATCAAGAAATGTTGATATGCAGCATACTGACTCTGCCTATAATTATCTTTTTCAAAGTTTTGGACAACCAATAGACAAAGCTGAAATAGTGAAGTTAGATGATAAATTTTGGGTACAAGCACATCGATATTTTCTTTTTCATCATGACTCTATTGAATCGTTTTGCATTAAGTTTTTTAGTAGGGAAATTATTCATTACATTAAGTATAATTTATACTCCATTTTTATAGGTTTGGAGTGGAAAGACTTGTTAGTGAAGAGGTGAAGTGTCTTTCACAAGGTTCGAGCAGGATTGTAAAATGATACAAAGATTTCATCATCAATGGATTTAGATTTCACACCAAATCCCATGAGAGATTTAGAAATATACAAAATTCAAGAGTTGTTAATCAACTACTAGCTATGCTAGTGCTAGGGACACAAACCCTTTAGAAGAAAATGTTGACTATTGTGGCATGATTAATGACATCATTGAGTTGTATTATTATGGCAAGCGAAAAGTTATCTTATTTTGGTGTGATTGGGCTAATGTGAATAGTGCAAGAGGTATTAAGAAAAATCAGTATGGATTTACATTTGTGAATTTTTCTTGATTAATTCATACTAGACAATAACTCATCGATGAGCTTTATGTTTTTTCATCTCAAGTCAAACAAGTTTTTTATTTTGAAGATTTCAAAGAATTGGGTTGGTTTGTTATTCTTCGAAACACACTTAGAGACTTATTTGATATGGGGTTAGATACCAAAGATGATGTTAAACATGGAACTGAATGTTATCTTTTTACTGAACAAAACTTGGATGAAAATATCTCCAATACCTACGTTTAATGGATTCGCGAAGATGTTATTGAAGACATTTATGAAGCATGATGGATCATCTATATTTTGTAATTGGAGTGTTTAAGACATAATCTCACTGGACATCCTGGATGTGTGCGCTTGTAGTAGCTCCTGTCAGCACCAGCAGTTAAAACGCACGACTAACACTTTTAACTAGAAAACCAATAAAGAGCCAGAAGACTCCAAAGTTTAAGACCAAAAAAGAGAAAAGGATTGCAGCTTGAAACTTAGTATTTAACCAAAGAACATGAGTGCTAAATTAAAGCATTCCCCCACCAAAAAAACTTTGAAGCTAGAACTTATCTTTCTTTAAACGAGTCTAAATTAATGTATCCAAAAGAGAGAGAGAGAAAGACAGACAGAGAGATAGAACCCACTTTTTAAGGCATAAAAAACCTAGGACATCCTATGGATGATGTGTTTAAGTGTAACGGATGATCGAAAGGTAACAATCTTGAATAAAATAAACCGTATATAAAATCAAAGTTCTAATATAATTCTACTTCCAGAACTTTGAAAAGAGCACACATTTCAAAAGTTTAAAAGGTATAAACAGTTTCATGAAGCTCAAATTTACCTTGGATTTGGATTTCCCTTGACCACTTTTTGCCCATATTTCTCCGTCTGTATCCATCTTCCAAGATATCAACGTCACTGGTTGTTTGAACTGCAACTCTAGGTTCCCTCACAGTTCTACTCCCAGGTGCTGAAATTCCTTCTTTTTCACCTTCACTTCTTCCGGAAGCAAGTAATATCAATGTTAGTTGAGCAGAAAAAAACAATATACTATATCCATGTTAATAATCTTTGACCATAGAAAGATAGTAGTCAAGAATTTAATAAATTAAACTTACCATCTTTTGGCCCCAGGTTCGTCTTCATCAAACTCGTCTCCTCCTGATTTACTCTTCTGGAACCCTGACCTAAATCATCATCCCCGACCGATATAGAGGAATTTTCTGGTGTTGCAGCAGAATCCATCTCTCCAATGCCATGAATTGCAAATGACTGATTAGGAATTTCGGAGATAGCAGTAGTCGAAGTCTGAATAGCAATAGAAGGTGAAGAGAAGAAGATGATGATGATGATCTCCTAGTGGACTGAGGTATGGGATGGTTATGACTACCGTTGTAAACTATCTCCGTTATCTGCCCATCTAAAGACCTCTCAACCTTCTTCTTTGTTTGGCAGTTGGGATATGTGCACTTATAGTAACTTCTTGGGTTTTCACTTCCTTTCACTTGTTTTTGCCCATATTTTCTCCAGTTTTATCCATCATCTGATCTTCTGCTCTCTCTGATTGACCCATAATGAACTTAAAAAGTGTGAGAGACAAATTAAAATGGAAAAAGGGAGCTTAGATTTGAAAAGAAAGTTTTCATCCCAAGGCAAAATGATAATGTGAGGAAGGTGCGATGATATTTTTCTGGAATATGATGATGTGAGTGTGAAATTAATTATTATATCTTCAATGATCTTAGGGTTGTGTGGATTTGGATGGTTTTTGTTTAATATATTTATATTGAAAATCATTAGTTGAACAAGAACAAGTTCACTTCTTCTCATTGTTCATTACATTTTCATGTATTTTCTTAAAAGAAAAACTAAAATGAGCCCTTCACAGCTACTAGCCTACTGCTTTCCACTTCTTAAAGAAATATATGTGTACATAAATCCATCTAATTAAAAACAATAAATAATTTATATATATACATATATATGTATATATATATATGTATGTATATATGAATTGGGAATAAATTACTTACTATTTTCAATATGTTATCATCATGTTCAAAACTCTGTCATCCCCAAAGCATCAGTTTTGTTTTTTGAAAAAGTTAAATTTCAGATTTCCATCTCCAATCAATTTATGAAAATCATTTAAATATTCTTATATAATTATATGGAAGAAGAAAAAGAAAAAGAGGAAAACATTTACAATGATAAATGTGTTTTCCTGCAGTGACCGGCCCAAAATAATTTTTAAAAGCTTTGCAAGTTGCAATCTAGGAGAAGCATCAACATCGGCCTCACACTCATACTCTAACGTGTAGAGGCCGGGGGGACATTGTCTATCTTCGTCGAAGCCATCAAGATCAACCTAGTGGTAGGGCTAGCAGCTCTATCTGCTACGGATAACCTCATTTTTGGGAGTCTGAGGATTAGAAGACCGGTCTCCTAACCAATTATGGGATTCACTGTTTCGTTGGAATTAATTTGGCTACTTCCTTCCTCATTCTTTGCAATATCTTCCAAACGGTCGCAGAAATCCTGGTACATGTTTTGTTTTGTTTTTTTGTTTTTTTTTTTTTCCCACTAACTGCATGTCAACTTTCTGCATTTGATTGTCGATTTGCATTTGTTAGTTTTTCTTTGGCGATGAAAACGTAAACACAAGTCCGACATTGACACCTGTGTTCAAGTTTTATCCGTGAAAATGACCAATGAATTTGTCAATGTGGCAATGATCAGGTGAATTTTCAAACTAATTAAACAGAATGTAATTGACAATTTTTTTATTTAGAAAATGTATTGTCGTAAATGTAACATAAAAAATCAATTCGTGTGCCAATGCAATAATAGAGAACAGCATACTGCATTGTCAATTGTGTGTATTTCCCTTTTTTTTTTTTTTTGTTTTCCTTCTTTTCTGTTGATTTTTTAATAAAAGCCTTCGATAATTATACATCATTTTGTGGGCTAAAATTTAGAAAGGAAAGAAACACTTTTTTTTCAAATTATGTCAATGATCCCTATATTTCATAAAAATTTAAAATTTAACTCATTTATTATAATTCATACAAATTTAATCATCATATTATTTTAATAGTCTTAATTTAAGTCTAATAACTAATTTCATTAAAATTCTACCTTTAAAAGTATTAATGTATCGCTGATTTGATGAAATTTTATTGACATGATATTGATTTGAAATAATAACTTAAATAAATGAAATTAATTATCAAACTAAATAAATAATTCCTGTACTCATAAAAAAATTACATTTTAGTAAAATTTTTTTCATACAAGTTAGATTTGGTAATATTCGTCTAAATATTAATGCAATAAATTAATCTTTGTTAATTTTACTAATATATTCACTGAATTTTTAGAAAATATATGAAAATTAAAAAAATAAAAATTTTAAAAATCTAATAAAATAAAAAATTCCAAAAATTTAAAAAAGTTAATTTAAATAAAAATAAATTTTTTTTCTAGATTTGGATTATTAAATATAAATAACAGAGAATAGAGTTTTAGATAACTCTAAAAAGCTTTGGCAATATACATTTTTTATAAGCTTTCATGTGTAGTCCAACAACTTATCCAGCCCATTCCATGTCTAGTCACCGAGTGCCGTGTACATTCCATGTCTTTCATTTTCAGGCTCATTTTTCTTTTTTAACTTTTATATATTATTATCATTATTATGAAGGCTAGAGCCTCGCAAATCGCAATCACTGGATGCCAACCACACATCCCATCTAAACCATTCTCTCTCTCTCTCTCTTACTCTTCTTTTCTCCTATTTTTATTTTAATTCCTTTGGTTTTTTTTTTTTTTTTGGGGGGTTAAATTAATCCTTTGGCATAGGCATAATGTAACGGGCTTTAGTCTTAAGTCAAATTTGGTGAGGTATTAAACTAAAAATGAACTTTCAATGCTTAAATCAACCTGTGAAAACGTGCGTGCATAAAACCAAAACCGAAAGCAGAAGCACATACCCGATGGGGAAAATAATTAGTTTACAAGTTAATGCCTCTCCAGGGAACTCACAGGAAAAATCAAGGGGGAATTGGTGCATCTACTGTTGACTTAACTATCATGTTATGATCATTAACCATATTAAAGCTACAGATAGGGCAAAAGTTTTTTACAGGTTTCTGCTTAAATGACTAGAAACGTATCTCAAATGTCTCTTCAACCAAAATACTTGCAGGAATAGAATAAGTTATCACAAAATGCGATCTCATTCCTTGGCTACTTTTAAACATCAAAAAGATGAGAGAATGCTGCCGGGATTAGTTTCTCTGAGATCTACATAACAATGTATCCATACATTGTTATAACAAGAAAAGAAACAAAACATCACTGACAAAAGGGTGGGTTACTTCTTAGCAAAAGTGATAGCCATGGGATATTGAGGGGCAATTTTGAATCCCTGAAGGTGCTGCATGGCTGTAGAAGACTGCTCTTCATCTTCATACTCTACAAAAGCAATACCTGGCTTTGCTTCAATCATTCTAACTTCCCTGAATCCAGGGTACTGTTCAAAAAGCAGCTGCAGCATCATGCTTGTTGTCTCATGAGGTAAATTCTGTATGAACAGAATGTTGTTCGGTGCAGCCTGCTCTAGGTTTCCATGATGGAAAGTAGCCTACACATGATCAGACAAAATTTATCCAAGGCATAGACAAATAGCATGTCACAAAACTTGATCCCTCTAGGTCAAGAAACAGCCAGAAGCAGTGTAAAGGTATATCTTATATACTATCCAAGAACTGCAATCATATTACAAGAGCTGCCATTCACATAGGTAAAGGTATAGGGTTAAGAGGGAGAGAGAGAGAGAGAGGAAGCAACTATCAAATCAAAAATAGTCCTGCAAATTACCTTTGGATCTCCATTACTTTGAGAATCTGTGCCATTTGACATTGCAGGTTGCTGTCCTTCCTCTGCACGTCGCTTCCTTTCAGCTGAAAATAGCATATAGGATCCAAAGAATGTCAACAAATATGAGAGCAGTTAAACTAAACCAAAAGAAGTTTGCATCTTGGATGCACATTATTCAGGAAAACCAAAGAAAAAAGCAAAATTAAAATTCTCAGCCCCAAAAAGGCAACTACATAGACAGCTTGTGCTTTTTTTTTTTGCATTTTTAGCAATTTTCTTTACAAACAGTAAATCCATAAGTCCAAATATCTGGTACCTGAATAGCACCATGAAACAAGCAGCCCGTAGTTAGGTAAAGGCATTTATTCCCCACTGAAATTAACAAGGTGCTAGTGTTATGGATCAAAACTTAAGTTTCGACCCTTGCGGCTCCAGGACCCTAGCATACACTCATCCGGCGTCTCAAATCAGCTTACCTGCCACGGTTCACACCCTTGTGAGGTATTGTCCCCTCTGACCTCACGGTTTTGTCCTACAAAAGACGTCTCACAAGACAGAAGTGGTTTGAACCCTTATATATCCTAGTGACCCTCCTTTTATGTTCGATGTGGGATTTAGGACTCCTCCTTAGGTCCGTGATATTCTCTCTCACCTAACCTTGTGACGCCCTCGTCACAAAAGTTGGCCACCTTGCCTACCTCCCTCGAGGCGCTTGGCTTAGATTAAACAATTTAGGGCTGGCTCTGATACCACTTGTCACGAGTCGAAACTTAAATTTCGACCTGTGCGGCTCCAGGACCAGGGTATGCACTCATCTGGCGTCTTAGATCAGCCTACCTGACACGATTCACACCCTTGTGAGATATTATCTGCTCTAGCCCCTCTGGCCTCACGGTTTTGTCCTATAAAAGGCACCTCACAAGGCAGAAGTGGTGTGAACCCTTATATACCTCAATGACCCTCATTTTATGTTTGATATGGAATTCAGGACTCCTCCTTAGGTCCGGGACATTAGGATATTACGCAAGGAATTCATATTTTCCAGCCCCATTGCACCACAAATGCATCAATTACAGAAATATGAAATTAAAACTGGTTAAGATAACTGAAACATCTAAGTTCTAACCCCTCCTCCGAGGATTTTGTCTAACTGTACCCCCAAAAAAGCACAATTCATTTAAAAACCATCATTCTGTTACTCTTTCTGTTTTTCTTTTGGTCAAAGGGGCAGATTAGTGCTAAAATATATAAATGCATAATAGCATGAAGTACCTTCACATGATGAAATAATGAAATACAGGTGAAATCTTTTTGCTTAAGTAAATCAGGACCAACCATTACAGGTATGGAAATTTAAAGAGCAAAAAAATGAGGTAGTCACCTTTTTCTTCTTGCTTCTTCTTCTTTTCTCTGGGAACAAAGCTTCCATCATTTTTGGCAATACAATCTGACTTTGTTTTTGCATATTGTATCCGCTGCACCAAATTAATCATATAGACAGTCAAATCTAAGCATCATTAGCAACTAAAAACACATATAATCTAAACATTGATCCCTGAAAATTTTTTTATTGCAATCACAAGTGATGCCTAGAGAATGAAGGAAATTTTATGAACATGGGGAGGAAGATAAGGTATAGTTGCAATTAGAAACATAGCAAAAGTCTTCCATGGATGCAGCAGAAACAATAGCCCTGATTTATAATAAAAATAAAAAGGGTCTGAAAATGTCAGCAATTTAAGTTGAAATTTACAATTTTCAGGTGGTTTAAGCTTACTTCAGAAGAACCACACATCATAAAAAGTATACATACACCATTGAGCATCATATCATAATGGAATAATGAGAAGCAGAAAATTCTCAGTAAATGACGGAATAATTCCAATAACATTAGGATGAACCAACAAGAATAATTTCACTACAATGGAACATAGAAACTGTGAAACCTCAAAACAAAAACAAACCTAAATCAATTAAAATTGAAAGAAAAGAGACAATGTTCAGTTTGATTTTTAGGCAATAACGCACACATATTAATATACTCACCATGGGTTTATCATAAAATGGAAAATTTTGCATTTGACGAAAGGCGTTACTGGCAGCAGTCAACTCATCAAACACAAGCCATGCCTGTCCACGAAGCTTGGGCGTCTTCAACGCAACAACATCCAAAATCCTTCCATATTGAGAGAATAAAGCATAAAGGGATCTCTTTAATTCTAACACAGGAAGAGGAAAAATGTTAATTCCAAATCAATCCCATTCCAAAGTTCAAACCAATAACAATCAGTTGGATATCTCTAAAAAAAATGTTAACTTGAATGTCTTAAGGAAAAGGAGACCGTTTGGATTAAACCCTAAAAAAGGGGGAAAACCCTTTCTTTTTTTTTTTTTTTTTTCCAGTTAAACCCTAAAACAACCTAGGCCTTACATCTAGCAAATACAAGTACTCGGGGCTAAGGATCAGTAGAGCGTTAAGCAGCTTGTAGTTTGTCTTATTTTGCCTCGGATTCAAAACAACGAAACAAAACGTGAGACAAATAATTAAAAGAGAGAGAGAGAGAGAGAGAGAGAGAGAGAGAGAGGTACCTTCTTTTTTATCTTCTCGTTGAGGTTCTTGATATAAATAGTTTGATTTGGAGGTATATCTCCAGTTAGCATTATTGCTGGCTTCGCCCCAATCAAGTAAACAATGAGAGAGCGAGAGCGAGAAGAAAGGAAATTTTCAATTATTTGCGAGGAGGGGAAATGTGTTCAAGGATTAGCCAGCATGAAGCGCTCGGTGAGCCTCCAACTCTTGTTAGCCACTTATTGGGCTTATATAAATTGGGCTTTGGCTGTTTTTCTTGTTGTCCTCCTATTGGGGATGAGTTTGGATATTAATGGTCATTGGGTTTGTCAACAAATAAAAGATTTTTTTTTTTTTTTTTTTGGGTATTTGGACAAGTGAAGTGAATTGGGTTATAATAAGTAACACTAATAGTATAGTCATTGGGTTTAGCTTAAAATTGGGATTGAGCTAAAATGGTAAAAGTGAGGTGAATTTTAGGAAAAAAATGTTAAATTTGAGTAATTGTGCATAATTAACAATCTTTTGAAGTTGTTGTAGTGAGAGTTAGATTTTGATTAATAATTGGCCAAGAATGATGAAAATAAATTTTAATCGATATCAGTTATGTTAATATATCCAAGCAATTTAAAAAGATATGAAGTTGAGATATAACACTAAAATGGCTTAAAATTTTTTTTTGATAATATAATCTATGGCAAATCTTTACTTGAAATTTAATCCTTGGATTCACATTTTTAAATATATATATATATATATATATATACAAACACATACACTAATTAACGTAACAATTATGTTAAACTCACGACAGGCCTAACATTTTTTATCGGGCTTTGGATACATCAGTGACCTAAATATTCAGCCCAAAGGTAAAACCAAGAATCTATCAAATTGAAATTGGGCTCTGTCAGATAATAACTAGGCCTTATTTATAACTCATACTTAGAGGCATTATGTAATCCTCAAAGAAAACACTTTCTAAATGCCCTAAAAAATTCTAGTCGATGTGTGTTTGAAGAATGAATTAGGTTCACTCAAGCCCATAGCTTATGGTAAAAGTCAAGAAAAAAATCGCCTCCCAATGCTTTAGAAGGATTAGCATCTAAAACGAGAAATGCTTTAGAAGGACTAGCATTTAAGAAGAGAAATGCCAAGATAAAAAGCATCAATTCCTAATAAAAAATCAAAATTGATTGAATACAAATTGTGTCCAACTGTTCGAAAACCTCTTCAAAATAGCAATATTATGTCCCACATAGAAGAATGACAAGCATGATCTTTTTCTTGGAAAGCACCAAGAACTGCTGTAGCAAGAGTTTTCATATTTCCACCACTAAAAGCCTAAGGAATGTTTTTAATGAAACTTCTTAACACCGAGTAAATAGCTGACCAAACAGTAAGGCTTTAAGACTTCAAAAACTCCAGAAAACATTTATAAGCATAAAAGAGTTTCTCAAAAGAAATGGCAGTCGCCTTAGCTTTAGAAGCATGTTTTAGTTCTGTAAATACATTTCAAAAGCAAGTTTTTCTATTTGCACAGAGACCAAAACATTAAAAAGTGTGGCCAAAGACAACAATGAAAAAGACATCACCTATAATTAAAGACATAGAAGGATCTTGCAAAAAAAATTCATGGACACATAGCAAAAAAACTCAAGATACTACATCAAAAATCTGCTAATGTTTACATTCTTCAAATAGTGATTTCAACATAAATCAAGCCTTGTACATTTTTATGTTTGAAAATGCATGGATGCATTAGCATGAATTGTGCGTATTGTTAAGCATTCAACTTAAAACCAATTAATAGTAAGTAGATGGGTCCAACTTGAATATAAGACTACAGGATATTTGATATTCATTAGATGTGTGATAACTCATATTAAAACGTGTGACTTTGATATTATCATACAAGCATTCATGTACATGTAACCATATAATGTGGATGTTTGCTTGGATATTTTTAGGGATTGGGAACATATGAAAATGGTGAAGAAAGATTAAACACCTTATTATTTTCCACTGGGTAGCCTCAAAAAACTATATGGTTATAGTTCTTCACAAATAAGTGAAGCCACTCAATCAAGAATAAAACCCAAAAAATTAAAAAGTGAAAATTAAAAATTAAAAAAAAACACAAATTAAAGTAGGTGATAGCTCATTTTTTTTACCTGAGCAATGCCAAAGTGGGAAAATTAAGGAAAAAAATTGTATAGTTCAGGATGAGATAATTATTGCAACTTATTATCAATTCAATTAATAGGGAAAAAGTGAATGTGAGATTGTTTAGAATGATAAGGTTAAGAAAAATGGATTACTACTATTTTCCCTAACCAAACCATTTTTAAAATAGATCATTTGGTGCATACCTGCTGATGCATCTCTTACAATTCATCTAAACCAACTGCTTTATCAGATAAATTTTATGGTGTGAGCTTCAAATTTTCTTCCAAATACACAAAAATCTAAGTTGTGTATAAGATTATAGCATTTAATCTCTTTTTCTTAGCAGGGAAGGCAGCCTGTTGTTCACAATCGAATGCTTAAATTGATTAAAACTAATTGTCCAAAGCCTACATCTTTACTCATTAAAATTCTCAAAAGGTTCTAACTATACCTCATGCATAGGCTACATTAAAATTCTATTTAATAGCTTAAAAGATGTCAAGAAGCATAAACCTTTAGAAAACATGAATTTGATTCAAACTTGTAATGAATGCTTTGCAGCTTGGGAAACTTTAGAACTTGGATCAAATTGGGAGAACCACCATAGTCCCATCAAAGATTTCAAGTGCAGAGCCAAATCTCTTATGAGAAAACATATAAGAGATCAACAATCAAGTTTTTATTGCATAACAAAAATAGGGAAAGTGTTGTACCAAAGAAATATGAGGGAAAATAACATCATGCTCATTTTACTTTGCTTCTCCTCATAAAGGAAGTCATCTTTCTTACCTCTCACTTCTTTTGACTCAATAGGTACGATTTTTGAAAATAAATAACATGTTTATTAGTTTCTAATCTTTCATGAAAATCATTTTTCAAAACATTAATGAAGAGAACTAACATATCTTAGTTGTTTGAGATTTGTATTTGTTTCTAAATTACCAAACAAAATATGTTCACACGATAAGCATCTAGAAGACCAAAACTTATATGTCATTCACCTTTCATTCGTTCAAACTTTTATGATTAATAATTTAATATCCTTCACTACACCATATCCATTAAGTAGTCAAACACAAGAAGGTATGAAAATAATATTCATTAGCAAATAAAAAGGAAAATAAGTTCAAACCCGATGGCAATGACAAAATTAGTCATTGTTTCGTGGGTAGCTTGTCGAACCTCTTGATTATAGTCCAGCAATAGCTTCTTGTTTTTAAATGCTTGTATGAAAGAGAGCATAACAATATTGGAACATATTAAACCAAGCATCAGGTTTGAAAAATTGAATTTCACAAGAAACCTATTGCATTAGTGAGTATTATTCAGGTTTAGTGTTTTTCTTTTAACATCCAAATGAAGTCAGATAAGGAATTAAGTTTTACTATACTAGAGATTCAAGTTCCATGGTGTGAGCTATTGAATTAACATTTTAGAATCTCTCTAAAATTATATTCTAGATAAAATAAAAAGATTAGATAAGAAACCATTTTAGTTTGTTTTATTCCTCATATGCTATATCAAAAAACAAAGACATTCATATTTTGTTTTCAATTCCAATAATTAGTATCTACTAACCTATTACACAACATTTTTGTTAGATATTTTTAAAATAAAATATGAAAAATAATCTCACATTGGAAAAAAAAATAAAGACAGATAGTTAAGTCTGTTTAAAACAAAGAGATAAGTATGTTCAAAATGAACAATTTTAACTATTCAAAAATAGATAGTTTTTGTTTATTTAAAATAAGCAATCATGTCTATAGAAAATGATACTTATCTATTTATTAAAAGGCCCATTTGGTTTTTTAAAAACATATAGAAAAATACTGCTTGGAATTCTCTTTCTTTCTTCAAGCTCCAAATTTCTTTTATAGAAGTTTTGCTATAAAAAACTTTTGTAGAAGTTCAATGATCTTGAGATATGCTAGTGATTGCTTGATGGACTAATTTCATCGGTATAAAATGCAGTCAGTCACTGAGCTTCATTGTATCCTTAAAGTTTATTACCTGTAATCCTTTTACACACATATTAAGTAAATAATATGGTGGGGGCAAATAAAACCTTAAGAAAAATGGTACCATTGCACGTCTTGGAGTCTTTCCTCAAAATTTCAGATTTACCAAAGTAGTAATTCTAATTTTTTAATATTACTCAACAATATTAAGTTTACGGTTAGTTCAATAATGTTTATTAAAGCAACGTTCAGGGAATTGACTTCTAGTTTTATCAAATTAGATCATTTTGATAGTGGTAATTTTTGAAGATGATAGAAGAAAATGCATTTTCTACTTTCAACCTTGAAGGTTGTATACATTCTGACTACTCTCAAGCTAAAAGAAAATGAAATAGAAGAATTTATTACTATAACAAAGAGAGGTAAAAATGGGATAATGTAGACTACATGTGTAAAGACTATATTCTGAAAGGTTTATCTGACAGCCTGTTTGATACATACAAAAATGAGGCTATTGCAAATGAGTTATAGGATAAATTGAAGACTAGATATATGATTGAAGATACAATAAATAAGAAATTTCTCGTTAGTCAATTCAATAATTATCATATGGTTGATGGACGTTTTGTGATTGAACGACTACATGAAATTAAAAGAATGCTTAATCAGTTTAAACAATATAATATGAGTATGGATGAAACTATTATTGTGTATTCTATAATAAATGAACTTTTTCTATCATGGAAAGACTTTAAAAGAAGTCTAAAACATAAAAAAAAAAAAGAAATCACTCTTGAGCCTTTGGTTAATCATCTTGAAATTAAAGAGGAATACATAAAGCAAGAACAGAATTCCAATTTTTGTGATGCCAAAGTTCATGTTTTGAAGGAAAGATAGATTACAAAGCTTGACAAAAAAAGTTCAAGTTCAAGTTCAAGTAGATTGCTAATGGGCCTAAATTTAAGAAGAATAAGAAATGTTCATGTTACCATTATGGTAAGTCAAAACATTTCAAAAAAGAATATTGGTTGCTATAGGAGAAAAATGATTCCTCAAAAGGGGATACTTCTGAAAAATTTGTTGCCATGATTTCTGAGATC